CCTGATTAAATGATGATGTAAAAAATGAATAGACTGCCAAATGAAAAATCACCATGAATGAACTATAGAATGAGGAGATTTGAAAATAAACCAATTAAACTTAGTGGTAAAAATATCGCGATTTATGAATTAAATTTAGATAAGACTTCTTCTAATTGACGTGCGCAAGTGTCGTAAGACAGAATAAGACTCACCACACTCCCTTTAGCACCTGACTGCACCATGAGGGTCAAGTTGTTGGAGGGGAAGGACTTGATGAGGTTCTGGGGCCAGCATGATCTGAAATCATCATTATCATCATCATTATCATCATCATTATCATCATCATCATTATTATTACTACTATCATTAACGTCATCACCTCCATCATCATCATCATCTCACACATCGTCCAACAATCATCATCAACATCATTATCGTTATTGTTATTAACATCATCATCATCATCATTATTGTTATTATTATTATTAACATCATCATCATCACCATTACCATTATTATCATCATCATCATCATTATTATTATTATCATCATCACCATCATCATTATTATTATTATCATCATCACCATCATCACCATTATTATAATTATTATTATCATCATCGTAATTACGTAATTACGCAATTACTTCTTGATCTTATCCTGGAACTGCGTCATTTGCGTGTTGATGGCACCGTCCAACTCCAGCAGATCCATGCGCTTCTTGCTGAACTGCACTCGCTTCAGCCCGTCGACAATCTGCTGTGGATCAGCCCAAGCGGGCAACTGCATGGCCCTGGCCACCACCTCTTGCCCGCACTCTTTCACTTCTTTTATTTTCTTTATTCGCTCTTTATCGCCCTGCCACGTCGTGTGTGTGTGTGTGTGTGTGTGTACACATCAACTACGACCAACCATAGGAAGAAGTATGTATCTTATAATATGTGTATATATATGTGTGTGTGTGTGTGTGTGTGTGTGAGAGTGTTTTTGTGTTAAAATTAAAACATGATGAATGATGCTGAACAGTCAAACATCAAGTAACAAATGGATTAACAAATGTGTGTATGTTATTATTATTATTATTATTAAATGCATTTGTATAGCGCCTATTAAATGAAATCTCACAGGCACTCTCAAAATCCAGTAACAATAAATTAAAGAAATGATTGTCAAAAGTCAACAGTTTATCCACAATGTACATTAAACGGATATACAATGTATATATTTGTATAATATAAAAAAAATAATATATGTATGTGTATGTGTGTGAGTGTGCGTGTTTATGTATATATGTGTGTGAGTATGAGTGTGTGTAGTTGGTGTATTATAGGAGTGTTTTTGTTGAATGTCTTACGGAAATATTGGCAGTAAAAATTTCTAAACTTTCCTAGGCTTAGAGAAGTATTTAAAAATTCTCAACAAAAAGTACTTTTCATTTCTTATTTAACAGTCTATTACGAAGAATTTTTAAAAATATTAAATTTAAAACGAAATTTAAATAAATTATGAAATAAAATCAAAGAAGACGAGAGGGACCTGCTCAGTGATGATGATATCCTCAACACCCATGGTGAACGAGTGCTGTGAACGTAGGAAGTAGGTGAACAGTCTGCCCAGACACGTCAGCAATCTACTCGAAACCTCCCCACCGTACAGCTGATTGTGTGTGAGTACGTGTGCGTGTGTGTGTGTGTATATGCGTGTGTGTATGTGTGTGTGTATATGTATATGCATGTGCGAGTATGTACGTGTGTGTGTGTGTATGTACGTATGTGTGAACAAATATTATTATTACTACCATTCAATCTAGCAAACATTAAATCCCAACAACAAACAACACAACACACAACATTCCAAAAAAAAGCCCAAGACAGCGAACAAATGAAACATCCCATCCCAGCAAACACGGCACAACGTCTCAAACCTCGTAGCACCAATGCACCAGCCCATAGGCAGAGGCTCCGTAGTGGTTTTTATCCAAGACACCTTGCAGCAGTTCGCCATCAACAATCAAGACATCACTCTCAGACATGAATGGATACGATGGGTCTAGCTTGTTCTCCACCTGCTCCATTAGCTTTTTACGTCTTCTTCTCTCTTCCTTGCTCGCCGGTTTCAAGCCGGATTTGATGGAGGATCTGTCCGGATCGTTTATCCATTCCTTTTGGGAGTTACGGGAGGAGTGGGCAGTTAGTGAATGAATGAATGAATGAATGAATGAATGAATGAATGAATGAATGTGTGGATGAATGAATGAGTGTGTGGATTAATGAATGAATGAATAAATGAATGAATGAATGACTGAATGTGTGGATAAATGAATGAATAAATGAATGTTTCAATGTATGCAACATTGTAAGAATGAGTGAGAGATGACATTGATAAATGAATGAAAAATGAAAGATGGCAGCAGAAACAGCACAGCGAAAACAACAACACAACAACAACAACATCATAACAACCATACAACAACTTCGACAACAACATCATAACAACACAACAACAACAACATCAACAACAACAACACAGCAAACCATATAACAACAGCAACTACACACCTGATCAGATATCTTTGACTTCCCCTTCAAACTCAGAGCAGGCTTATCGTCGGGAATGACATTCAGCAACAGCGTACTCAAGACCTGCAATTAAATAATTATAATGTAAATAGTAAATTATAAAAAGAATAAATATATAATTATAAAGATAATTATAATGACGTCATTTCCATCGTCACCACTATCATCTTTATATCATCATCATCATCATCATCACTACTATCATCTTTATATCATCATCATCACTACTATCATCTTTATATCATCATCATCATCACTACTATCATCTTTATGCTATCATCATCATCATCATCACCAATATCAACTTTGTGCCATCATCATCATCACAACCTACATCATCATTATTATCACCATCACAACACATCAGTCTAACCATCATCCTAGCAACAACTTACTTGTTTACCAGACCAGAGACAGACAGGTCTATAGACAGATGGTGGTAGTAATTTAATGTTCGCTTGGCTGTTGCTCAACGCTGCGTAGACCAGTTGCTGATACTGCATTCGATGAAAGAATCTATAGTGGTAGACATATGTGTCTCATCATTATTTAGCCATTTTATTATTATTATTATGAATGAAAAGACATCTTTGTTTCATTATTATTATTGTTATTATGAACTGGAAACGTCATTGTTATTATTATTATTATTGTTGTTGTTGTCGTTACTACTATTACAACACCACGTAACTTATAATCATCATCATCATCATCCGAATCAATAGGAACAAGATCATTATCATGTGTCCTATCATCATCATCATCCTCATCATCATCATCATTCTCTTTATCATCACCACCACCATCATCATCCAAATCAACAAGATCATTATCATGTGCCCTATCATCATCATCATCATCATCCTCCTCTTCATCATCATCATCATTCTCTTCATCACCACCACCACCGTCACTATCATTCTCATCACGTGACCTTCCTCTGACGGTCAGCAGCACCCCAGAGACCATGTGATCTTGGATGAGGCCAGCGATGGGCTTGCCATCTTTCGGAACCAGGTACTGTTCTTCAGCACAGGCTGTTGTGGTTGTTTGTGTTGTTGTTGTTGTGGTTGTTTGTGTTGTTGTTTGTGTGTGTTTGTTTGCGTGGTGGTTGTCGTGGTTTATTCAAGTCTACCTAAGTTGTAGTTCTTCTACATGTTTGTTTATGTATTTTACTTCGTCGCCAGCATCATCATCACCCATACAACCACCTTACCATCACCGCCAACATCATCATTATCATCACTACCACCCCCACCCCCACTGCATCACCATTATCTTCACCATCTTCATCGTCACCCCTACAACCACCATCACCATCATCGTTATCATCACTACCACTCCCACCATCATCATCGTCACCACCACCATTATCATCACCACCAACATCATCATTATCATCACTACCACCCCCATCACATCATCATTATCTTAACCACTACCACCACCACCAGCCTCACCGACGACAAAGGCTTCCGCTCTGGCGACTTCATTCTGCGGGAAGTGGGCGTTCATTTCGTCACCATCAAAATCGGCGTTGAAGGCCTTGCATGGAGTGTAGTTGATGCGGATCGTCTTCTCCATGGGAAGGACTCGCGCCTGGGAAATCATAATAATAATAATAATCATAATAATAATAACAATATAATAATAATAATATAATAACAATAATAATATAATAATAATATAATAATAATAATGAGAACATCCTTTTATTTTCATTATAAAACGTACATTGTAATTATAAAGTTAGAGTAATAAAACTTATAATGTTAATTATATAGACATTCTACAACGCTCGCCGTACTATTTAAATGGACACAAAGAGAAATAGAGTCAGCATTAAATTACGTTCAAATCGTGTTCCTATCACAGTAAACTGCGTAAGATGATTAAATAAACTTCTATGAAGCAACATACTATCTATCTATTTCTTTATCTATCAATTTATAATAATAATAATAATAATAATAATAATAATAATAATAATAATAATAATAATAATAATAATAATAATAATAATAATAATAATAATAATGGGAACTCTTTTATTTTTTCCAAAAAGAAGCGAAATAAATATTCAATGAAATAAAATAAAATAAAATGAATTAAAATGAGAAAGTAGTCTACGATGCTCGCCATTATAGATATAAAATGCGTACAACGAGAAATGTAATCAGTCTTAATATAGTTATTATACATTTATAATAATAATTACAACAACAACAACAACAACAACAACAACAACAACAACAACAACAACAACAACAACAAGGAGATAAAGGAACACGAGTGAGTACTACACATACGCACCGAGAATGTTTGCATACTCGGCTTGTGAAGTGTGGGCTGTCTGTTCAGAATCATCTTGTCGCCTGTCTTTAAATGCCTCTTGACCTGGCCGTCAGACGGTGATTTAGATCGTCAGATAATTTCGGATGAAAGATAAGATGAATGAATGAATAAATGAATGAATAGATGAATGAATGAATGAATAAATGAATGAATGAATAACAACTAATATCATTATCATACCTACCATCCCAATCGTCATGATCATCAGACACTCACAACAATCATCACAGTCATCATCGTCACCATCAATATCATCATCATCCTCACTACCACCAATATCATCATCACCACCACCACCATCAACATCATTATCACCACCATTATCATCATCATCACCACCAATATCATCATCATCACAATCATCATCATCAGCAGCAGCAACAGCAATGACCCACTTTTTTCTTATCAGTGGATGGATAGCCGTTGATGATTGTAGGTGTAAGGAGCTGATTGGCTATGGCTTCCCTCTGCGCCCTAGTTTTGGCGTGCAGAGAAATCAGCTGGTCATTCTCTAACTGGACAGAATAAGCCCTGGAAAGTGTCAATCAATCAATCAATCAATCAATCAATCAATCAATCAATCAATCAATCAATCAATCAATCAATCAACCAACCAGCCAACCAACTAGCCAGCCAACCAACCCTGGATATTCATCAGGCCCATTGATGACAGCCTCTCTCAACTCCTCAAAGTTCCTAGGATGAACAACTTCACTAAACATCAACCTCTTGGCGAACTCCACTGGTATTCCGACCTGATTGCAATCGAGATATGGGTCAGGTGAGATGACTGACCTCGCTGCTGAGTTCACCCTCTTGCCCATCATGTTCTTGCGTAAAAGACCCTCCTTCTTCTCTATGGTCTTTTGGGGGGTTTGGTAAGGTGAAGGTGAAGATTTTTGAGGTGAGTCGTCGGGTAGTAGTCGGTGGATTGGTTGGTTGATTGATTGATCAATTAACTAATTGATCAATTAATTAATTGATTGATCAAAAAATTAATTAATTGATTAATAAATTGATTGAATGGTTGGCCATCAAAAAAAATAGAATAAAAACATTTAATGGACGCAAGAGCGATTGGTCATACATTAATTCAATTAACAATCACAACAATCTTTAATAAAAATCGACACCATCATCTATAGAAGCGTTGATGGTGAAGCCGCTTCATCATCGTCATCGTCGTCACCTGTTTAACTCCTGGCAGACTATCCTTAAAAATGCGACAGAGCCCCTGGTCGAGGTGGGCATTCACCCTGGTCTGAAGGACGAACCATGCCCTATGCAAGTCCTCTGCTGTCGTTTTCTTCATTTTAAATAGATTTAAAATGTAATTTGAAATTAAAAATTAGTTTGAAATTAAAATTTAATTTAAAATTTAATTTAAAATTTAATTTAAAATTTAATTTCAAATAAATTCCCACGTTATTATCTCGAAACAATAATAACGCAAATAACAACACTTCGCTGCCTCAACAACAACTTGGACAACAATTTAAAAACAACAACAACATCAACAACAACAGCAACGGCATAAAAACATAACATAAACAACAACAACAAAGTAGAAACAACAACAACAACAACATAGAAACAAAAACAACTTTTTCTTGAGACCCAATTTTCTCCTCCCTAATCAAAGACCTCAAATCATTTGAGGCATTCAGGATAAACTTCAAATTCATCGATTCCGGATTCTCGACCATCGTGAACTTAAATTTAGACATCTGGGAAGTGAATTTTTGCACTTTATATTTATAGTTTTTGGTGTCTTATCAACCAATCGATCAGTCAATCAATTAATCAAACAATCAATCAATCTAACAATTAATTTGTTTTAGTATAACAACATCAGCCACAACAGCGACAACAATCAAATCTACAACAAAACTCGAAATTCAACACGACAAAACAATTACACCAAAAAAACACCACCAATGACGTTAACATTAACACCACCAGCAGCAACATCATCACCGACAGCAAACAAACCGGTCGATATCTAGGTGGAATAATAAGCATATTCTCAAGAAAAAATGTATCCATAGGGCAAGGCTTACCCCCACCACTGGCATCCCCATCAACCTCACCACCATGGCAGCCCCCATCGTAATTATCACCATCTTCACGCTCGATTTTATTATTATTAGTACACTTGTCATTTTTACTGAAGCCGCAAAGGACATTCAGCAGGTTTGGATGATTGGTGTATAATTTTCTGAGAAGGTACTGGCAGTCCGTCGGGGATAAGATATCCTGAGTGTTCATGCGATCTTCCGATGACGTCACTTGTTTGTTACTGGGTGGCGACGACGATCACGTGATCAATGAGGTGATGGATGGATGGATGGAGATGCAATGAATTATAAAATTGAATGAATGAATGTAGAAATGAATGAATGAATGAATGGAGGTATAGAAGTATAAACGAATCAATAAAGGTTTAATGAATGACTGACTGAATGAATAATTCTATAAATGAAAGAATGAATAATTGGATGAGTAGATAAATTTAAGGAAGTTTTTTTTTACATAAAATAAATAAAACAAAACGAAATAAATAAATATTTTTTACAAAATGAATAAAGTAAAATTAAAGTATGACATACAAACATTTTTAAGAACTTGGCTTTGTTAGTGAAATAAATAGTTGCCTGCTTGTCATGCCTCAGATTCCTTGGCTTCCTCTTACAGTTGTAGCAGTAAGGCATTCTTTTGGTAAAGAAATTTTTTAAGACTTCTTTTCGAACATTTTCGATGTGTTTTGTTCTTTTGAATAGAGATGGAGCCTTTGTTGTAGTCTCCGATTTTGTTTTTGACGACGACGATGGGTTCACTTTTGTAAAAAATTTATATTTTTATGTATTATTTATACTTTTTAGGAATTTAATTTTTATTTAATTTTAGATAGATTGAAATTGTTGACTGGAATGTACTTGATGACAAATTGTCTATATAAATAACATAATAATTACAGATTTGATAGATTTTGTTGTAAACTTGCAACCAGCAAGTAAAAATACATTAAAATTTTGAAAAGATACACAGATATATTTATGAAAATACATTAAAAAAATAAATTAAAAACTTTCATCAAATTAAAAAAAATAATTCAAATGAACCTTTTAACAAGCAGTTATCCAATCTATCTTTCAATTCGTAGAATGAGCTTGTATCAATTGTATCGTTAAATTCTGACACAGAAGCTTTGTACACACTGGTCATTTCGTCGTATGCCGTGATGAGGCCACTATCCAGAGCTTCCATCTGACTTATAAACAACAGACACTCACTTCTTTTCCGCAGTAATCGGCCACAGTTGAAACACATGGATCTGAGGATCTGTCAGGAAATCAAAATGTGGCTTAGTAATTAGTAGTAAAATTTAAATATTTTAAACAACAATGTAGATGGGGTAAATGAAAAAAAATTAACATAAAATGAAATACATTATATAAAATATAATAAGCTTATATTAATTATAACCAACCTGAAACATCAGCTGAAAATTAATAGGATTGAAAACAGGTAGAGGAAATGAAATGTGCCCCATGTGCCCTGAACAGTAGCAAGCTGATCGGATGCCTGGTAGTGGTGAAAAGGGCAGGCCACATTTTTCGCACGAAATCCCTGGTTGCTGGGTACCTGAGAGAATGATTATAATATGTGATAGATGACCAAGGAACAAGTTTTTATGTAAAAAAAAAATATTTTTAAAAATAAAAAAATTGTTAAATAACAAACGTAGCAAAAAGTAAACCAACCTAATTCTGGGTCATAGAGGCCTCCTCTGTTAGGGTTCAGCAGCAGATCCACAGAAACTGGATTAGTGATTTCCTTGGAGGATAATTTTAGAATTTCATCTGAAGTATACTGCTCATATTGCAAGCCATATATCCGGTAAGAGTGATTCAACCCGTTATCTAACTGGTGAGCCATCGCGATTTTTAATTAAAAGTGTAAAAAAATATTATTTTTAGCGTAACTATTGGCCGATCACACTTTAAACTGGGTAAGCTAGCAACGCAACGAAAATTGAAACACAAACACGTGCTTTCGCAATTTACTTTTATTTCAAAGACAGTTTATTATGTTTTTTTACATGCATATTTTATTCTATATATATATATATATATATATATATATATATATATGTAGTTTTATTATATTTATAATATTACGTCATACAGTACAAAACAGTTAACAAATTAGGCAGAACATAAACTGTAAAACATGTCCTGGATGGAAGTGTTAGGTCGACATCATATTCTATATTTCAATTCTTATTAAAATATTGCTAAGCATTTTTGTTTTGAATGTTAACCAGGACTAAATAATAAAACGTAAGTAATTCTAATAGATGAAATGATATATATACGGTGAAATGACTGAAAGATTTTTATAAAACTTCGTTCTAAGGTAAAACTTTTATAAGGTGTAGTAGGACGCTAGCATAGAGACAGACTGGCATGTATGAGATATTTTAACGTAAGTGCGTGTCTATATATGAATATGTTATAAACACACACCCACAAAAACACACATATATATCTAAATTATATAATGTTATGTTATTATATTTAAACATTAAACATTTGCAAAATAGAAACATTAAATTAGCTCAATCAGCAGACCAGCACAAGCACTTTTATATCACATATCAGAACCGTTTCGCACTGATTACTCTAACTATAATTTCTTTATGATTCGAATCAATTATTTATAAGACTCAACAATGTTTAATTCAACTGAATTTTATCTAAATGATTTGTAAAATTATAACACTGAACAATTACAACTAGACCTAGTACATTTTTGCTTACGTACGTTTGAAATTATGCTGTACAATAACGCTTATTTCTTGTACGCAGTCTTTTTATATTATTCAACGCATTATTGAAATTGTTTAAAAGTACAATGATTGTCAAACATGCCAAATTGCAATTTGCGATGCCTGTTTTATAATTAGCATGAGGACAACATTCATTCAATGTTATGTTAATTTGTTTTAAAAATTTTAATAATATATCCTATGGATAAAAAACATTCTGTCGAACAAACTAATAAATTAAATAGTAAATATGAAAATATTATTTGAAAATGTAGAAATTAAAATACAAACTAATCATCAGTTGTATATATATATATACATATACATATATATATATATATATGTATGTATAAATACAAACGTATATGTATATATATACATATAGGCAACACTGAAATTAAATGTTTTACGTGTATCAGACATGGCAAATTAATAGGCAGTTTAACAACAGTGCTACTTTTTTAAATTAAGTAAGAAGAGGGGAAAGAAAAATATTTTTAAAGTTAGCAACCAAGGATAGTAATTACGAAATAGTATTTCAAATCAAGTAATAGAAGTAGTTGCAGTAGTTGCAGTAGCAGTAGTTGCAGTACCAGTAGTTGATGTAATAGAAGTAGTATCTAACAAGTGCAAAATTTAAATTTAAAGAAAAACATATGGAAAGCTTAAATTAAAGTTTACCTTTGTTTTGCTCTTAAAACAAAGCCACACAAAGACACGCATGCACAAACATGAACAAACACACACACAATACACACACAAACTCACATAAATACATACAAACATTCACACATACACGGAGCTAAAATTTTACGAGTTCTAACAATAAGAGCCATACTAGTGTCAAAGGAAAAGCTCATCATCATCAACACAATCAATCCACATCTCTGTACTGGACAATTTGTGGGACTCGATCCCATCATGGATCAACAGATAAGGATCGTGTGTGTTGAAGTTGGTGTATCCGCACCTGCCCAATATTCCCGGGTGATCCGCGTACCACCAGCCTGTTGAGAACAATTAAAAGTTTTTTTTTTTTTTTTTAAAATTGAAAAAGTTAAATCACAGCTATGGGATATTGTTTCAGTTGTTGAAAAATTCATTCGATCGATTAATTCATTTCTTAAAGAAGTGATCTTTTTAGCTATTTAGTTTTTTTTGCTTATTAAAATGGTACCTTGAATTTCATCGGTAGTTAACTGGCTGAGTTTTTGAAATTTGTATTTAGTTTATTGAAAATAAAATAATTATTTATTTACAAACAAAAACAACATTTCATAATTTAAAAACATGAAATTTTTCGAGCCTACCGGCGCTGTAGACGAAGGGGCAGTTAACGACAGCAGTAGCAGAAGGAAGGACGTGAACATTGTCTTTGTCGAACGTTGAAAAGTTTGCAGCCTGCCCAGTTGTCGATCCCACCACACATTTCGGACTGCTACCACCGCCTGTGCAATTCGGCAATTTCACTTTGTAATTCTGCAGCTCTGATTCGATCAGGAACTTGTCGTAATGTAGGTACTCTACTGGCTCGCCCGAACTGGCTGCCAATAATTATTTCATGAGTTTCAAAATTCAAGATGGCCGTGATTGGAAAGTTGTTTTCATGATGATGAAGTCATACGTCAAACATGACATATTAAAAACGATGATGACGACGATCACGTGATGATGCCGGAAATGACGATAACTGATTTAAATTAACCCGTCTATGCAGTCATTCAATCAACGAACAACAAATCTATGTGAACATTGAAAGAAACACAAAAATGTCCAACAGTAGTTGAGAAGCACATGAAGACCGCATCTATATTTATTAGTCAGTCGGTATAACAACTCGTTACCCAGCCAGTACCCATCGACAGTCTTTTTGTTGTCGCTAGAGTACCCGCTGTTAGTTGTATCCGCTACGGTATTCGTTGACTCGCTATCCGATAAAACCGTTAATCCCGAAACCGAAAAACCAGATTTGAATTCAGACCAGCTCTTGTTGAAGGCTGTTGATGATGGGTTGAGGTTTAGTTGGACTAGGATGGTGAGAGATTTTGTGGAAGTGAGAAGCAAAGCTTGGGAATAAAATAATTTCATATTAAATAATTTTAAAAATCAACTAATTTTCAAGTAAAATCATTTCGGGTTTAATAATTTTTGAATGAAATCACTTTCTGGACAACGTGACACACAGGAGGGCAACGTATAAAACACAGATCCAACTAAAAAATATTAAAATATTAAGAATAATAATAAATTGCATTAATTGATTCGAGGACGAGAAAAAATTTATTAATGGTTTTGAGTGCAAAGAAGAAATCTTCGCCCAAATTGAAACTTTTAAGAAAATTAATAATAATAATAATATTAACAACAATAAAAAAATAATAATGATAATAATAATGTAATTTCAAGCACACGTACATTGTTCATGAATCAAACTTCGCAGTGGATAGGCCGGCAGAATGACTTGCCTGGTAGAATCGACGGGCTTCAGCTATAGAGGGGGAAGGATAAATTTAAAAACTTGAAAAACATGTTTTCAAATTTTAAAAAATAGTCATTTTATAAAATTACTTGATTGTTTTAATTACAAAAAATAATAATTTGCATGCATACTAAGGTAACGTTTGGGATCTGCTCTAACCTAGCCTAAATTTAATTTGTTCCACATTGATTTATATATTAAATAAATCTGAAAATTATTCTCAAAAATAAATATTTACCGCGTAATACGCACATCCGAATTGCTGAGTGAAATATACCGGTCGATAGCGATATAACTCGCACATCCTCGAGTCGAATCTCACATTGAAACCGTTACAGAGTTCCTGGTTCGATTCTTTGTATCGACACAGGGATGAACAAACGATCACTGCTGTTGTCGGTTCGTCTATGGTTAAAGGGTAGAACGAGAATATATCGATATTTACTAAGGATGTCGGTTTTTCTACCGAACATAAATTATCGTCGGTATTTGATCCGATTCCATTTGCTGCACTAAAAGTTTTAGTAAAAGTACTAGTTGTAGTAGTAGTAATAGTAGTAGTAGTAGTAGTAGTGGCAGTAACAGCAGCAGCAGAGGTGGTAGTTGGGGTAATTGCCGTAGAAGTAGTAATTTTATTCGTCATAGTAGTAATAATCGTAACTGTAGTAACTTTTGTTGTCATCGTAATAAAAGTAGTAGTAGTAGTAGAAGTAGTAGTAGTGGCGGTGGTAGTAGTGATGGCTGTGTTCTTACTAGTTATAATATTTAAATTGAAAAAACTATCCAAAAGTTCAATTATACCATTATAATTAGTCGTAATAATTTTAGTAGAAGTGGTAGTAGTAGTGAAAGTAGTAGTAGTAGTAGTTGTAGTAGTAGTAGTAGTAGTGGTGGTGGTTTTAGTAGTAGTAGTAATAATAGTAGTAGCCACCATATTAGTGGTAATAATAGAAATTTTTTTAATGGTAATAGTATTAGCAGTGGTGGTAGTAGTAGTGGTGGTTGTAGAAGCGGTAGTAGTAGCAGAAGTAGTAGTAGTAGTGGTATTAGTAGTAGTAGTAGTAGCTGTATTTAAAACTGAAGCTACCGACGACGATTTGTTAGCGCTCAACAGCAGAAACTGATAGCAAGATGTCAGATTTGAAGAGGTTAAAAGTGAAACTAGAGATGATGATGGTTGTGAGGATGGCGACGATGATGATAACTGAAGGACCAAATGGCCGAAAAACAGCAGACATTAATTTTCTTAAATTCATTTTATTCTGACGTGTTGCTGAAGCGGTATACGAAACGAGCCTACTATGCAGTCAGACCAAAATTGCGTACCTTATAATAGCATTTTTTATTTTCTTTCTCTTTTAACATGTGACTACTACTACTACAACTACTACTAATACTTACGACTACGACTACTACAGCTTCTGTTATAGCACCAACATTGCCACTACCATTAATTATGTCTATTGTTTTCGTTCTTTTGTTGAAAGTTATTACATTTACGTACGCGAAAGTTTAATTTTAGGCTCGTCTGTAGTTGCTTCTCATTAATCTTGCTAGCACCGCGATTTTGGCTGCATTCTTGGTGTAAATTTTTATGAAATAACAAAAAAATATTTCTTTTTCAATTTCTTCTCGCACATTGTGAAGTCCGTAGAAGATAATAATTAGTAAGAACTGCTTGGCTGGAAGCGACATTGTACAATCCTACAAGTGTACCTGCAACACAACATACGGAACACGCAGAAAAACACATCATTCATACATAATTAATTAATTGGTGCATTGATTTAATTTAGATGATAGATTTGAAAATTTCTAAAACTCAATTTATCCAAGACCTACTACTTCAAAATGTCTTTAAGTAGTTTAAATGGAATGAAACTCGCCAAGATATTAGCCATCACACATCAACATTATCATACACGTACATAATCCCAACCTACCACGTACACACGCACTTGTATACGTATGAACACACACACACACACACAAACAAGCACAAAATGCACATGCTGTTTACTTGTTTAGTCGAATTACGTTCTAACTTTGTACTAACTGATAATTTTATCAAGCAAAGAAACTCATTGTAAAATTTTTATTGCCACAATAGACTGATTTATTTGACGTATTTTGAATAGCGTCTGAATACTGCGTATTTATGTTTACATACACTAACTACACACAATAAACGCATACACATACAAAAGCACAAATACATACACACTGACATACATACACACACAGATTCAAGTAGCGGAAATGCTTTGACCAATAAGAATTGAGCATTCTTGATGTACATGTACTCTCTCCTTCTATTGGCTAATATTTCCGCATTTTTTAATATGCGAGGATTTTTACAAATTTTAATAAAATTGAAATAATTAATTAATTTTTATCAATTGAAACTGCTATGCTTTTTACGTTTTTTGTGAAAATACAAATGTGAATGAATGAATGAGTGAATGAATGAATGAATAAAAAAAAATGACTGAAAGCAAATGAATGAATGAAGATCAATCGTATGAACAAATGAATTTTTGATTTATCAATCATTTCAGTTTAACTACCATAAATTATAAATTTTTTTTTTATTTTAAGTTTATTTCGGAAACTTATTAAATTTTACACACCACACACGCGTTCTCTTTCTCTTTTCTCGCTCACACCACAAACACACAAACAGAAAAACAAACACACGCACACAAACACACATACCACACACGCACTACAACAGTAGTTGAAGAATTAAAAAATTAACACAATGTTATGCACAG